CTCTTCATCTGCCGCAATCAGTAGAGGAGAGACAGGTGATGCCTCTGGCCCATCAGGGTTGGGCAGGACGGATGAGTGACACGCGCCAGATGCTGCCCCCTGAGCTGGGCAGCAACTCCCCTGTAAATACATCATGGAGTAAAAATCACCACGTACATTCCAGCTGCTGCAGAGCATGTCACTGGAGTAGACGTGCGGTCACATGTACAAATGCACACCAAATAGTATCCGTACGTGTGATTAATTAGCAGCTCACAGCGAATTCTTTGAGCCACAGGGGAAAAAAAAGAGGAAAAAGGGAAAAGAAAATCACACATTTAAAAGGAAGATTAAAATTAACTATATGCGGTCTCTGAGGTTGAAAAACAAAAACTGTGTTCTTCAGGAAGTGAAGGAGACAATGAAGTCAGTGATATGTGTCGCCTGAATCTTACTTTATTTTTTACCATATTTGTAATACTGATTTTTATCTTTAATGTCAGTTAATTCAGTGCCCATGGAAACTACCAAGCCAGCAGCTCTTGAGCCTAAAGTCTTCTCTATCAATACAGACCCAGAGGTGTACCTCAAAAACATCCCTGAGAACACCATGGTAACAGTTGCCAAGCCCCCCAAAAAAACAAAAAGCTTTTAGGGATATGGAGCACAAAGACTGACAAGATAAGAAAGAGGAACAGCATTATCTCTTAATTCATTTCAGCCAGATTTGACCCATGTAAACCCATAAGTAGAGCGTTCAACGGAAAGTTAACTATGTGTTAACTTTGGACTATGAAGGACTATGAATCCTTCAGGCAGATTGAAACATTAGAGAGTAAAGCAGAGAGCAGGAATAGAAAGACTGTTGAAACTGAATTTATCATCTCATAGAGGAGGCAATGTAGAATACAAATGATGCACATAGGAAATGGAAAAAATTGCAAGAAATGGGCAACAGAAAATCTTTAGTATTTAGGAATATGAATGCTGCCCATATGAGTACAGTATAAGACCACAGTATAGGAAATAGTCATATTAGTTAGTTTGTGAACTGTGCAAGATGTTCATCAGTAAAGTTGATATCATATCACACTAATAAATTTAGCAGGTAGCTGAGTAGCACAAAGACTGGTGAGTAAAGTGGGAAATGTGACATTCAGAAATACCTGAGTCCATTGCTAACTCTCTTGGCATTCTCAAGAAGAAACAGCACATAAATGGAGCTGTTTGAAGAGTTGCAGGTCTAGGACCAAGAAACTCAGGTGATGGAAAAGGTTCTGTAAAGTATGACTCTACAAGGTGTTATGAACAGATGTCATAGGCTCACATGGGACCACCACAGCTTTCAGCCTAGTTACTTGCAATCTCAGTCAGCTATGAAAGAGCTTAGAAGAAATGCCAGAAACCTCCCAGAACCATCAATTCTATACCACCAAGCACTCCGTGCTTTTTGCATACTTTCAGAAGGAAAACTGAAAATACTGTGGTGATCAGAGTGGGAGAGTACATCAGCATGACAGGTCTTTAAAACTGTGTTGTGGCAAAAAAACCACAACAGCCATAAGAATCAGTTGTTAAGAAGGTATTTTACTTCGTGCATGCCTTCAGCAAGAGAAAGGTTAAAATAATATCAAGTTCTTGTGCCAATATTTTTAAAACAATGTTGAAAAATTGCACAGGTTGCAAAGAAAAAAAGTACACAAACCATTTGAAGAATTGCTGTAGGAAGTTAAGGAGTGTCATCTATTCTAACAGGTAAAAAATTATATTATTATATAGAATAAAGTAATTATATAGAATAATAATATTTTCTCTTATGGAGAATATTACATATGAAAGGACTGTTTAGATAAGTGAAGTAAGGCATTATTTAAACCAGCAGCTTGAAACTGAAGCCAACCGAGCTCAAACTGGAAGTGAGAAACACTGAAGGCTGCTAAGCAGACTGGCAAATGGCTGCAGCAAGGAAGTGGGATCATCCATCTATCTCATGATATCTTCTAGTTGAGAAAGCATGCCTTTCTGGAAATAGTGAAAGTCTCTCTGAGCTTCTAAAGTAGTATATTATGAACAGCAAGAATTATATATGTGGTAAGATTGAAAAAACAGAAAGGTCCATTCTGGATGTTAAATACTTAATCCTTTTATTGAATGTGATGTTTGGTGCTCAAACATTTGCACACTGGGGGCTGACAGACAAGCACTGGATGTAGGATTTCCAGGGAAGGTGAACAATAAATGTGGTCAGTGCTATCACACTTCCATGACTTTTTTGTCCTGATCTTTCTGAATGTTGATGTTTTGTTTGATGATCTATTTGCTTATCAGGTGAGACGTCCACAGTAATGCACAATTCTTCTTTTGTGAAAAGTTCCAGATTCGTTAGATAACACTAATTTGCTTTATAGAAATGTTTTCTGAGGTAAGTTGTAACTTTCTACATCTTGCTGTTTATCAGAGCCCATTATTCTATACTCCTAAAAACAAGATTTTCTTTTCATAGTACTGCTGTGAAATGTTTACCAGTGTATGACCATAGGAGGAGGCCCATGACAGTGTTTTAATGGTATACAGCCAATTCTTAACCCATGTCCATCACAATGCTGTGCTTTCCTTTATTGCTATCATAATTTCCTCTCTGAGGTAACTCAGCTGTTTCTTTCCAAGGCTTTGTAGTTCCTTATGTGATTCAACCTACCTAAAATTCTTTAGTTAGGACCAAGGAAAACTATTTTTATATAATTGTAAATATGCAGTGAGATCATTAGTGAATATAGTTTCTGGCCCTTGGTTTCCAGGATAATTTCCTATACCAGGACTTATTTCACAGAGTGCACGGAGGAGGCAAAACAATGTTAGCACATTTTGCATGAATGTTTGTATTGCTCTGCATTAAGACACTAAAGTTTACTCGTGTCTTACACTGGACAGTTTTACAGTCAAATAACTGTCTATAAAAGAAACAGAATTCATACTAAGCCGCATTAGACCCAATTCTCCTAACGTATACTTGAGTGTGAGGTAAAATACCAAAATTCAGCCCTCAAGGAGAAATTCTCCAGGACACACAAGCTGGACCGTCTGCCACAACACAGCACCCAGTCTCACATGTTGCTGTTACACTTTGGGTTTCTCTACACAAGAAGTAAATGTTCAGCCTTGGCAATTGTCAGGTCCTACCTTTACTGTTACACAGAGTCGTTGGTGAAGGGCTTGTACGAGGCATGCTGTGTCTTCGGAGTATGTGTCCACTGGACTCATGCTCTGAGAAATGGGCTGGTTTTGGTACCTCACCCAGCATACTGCTGCCTTTAAAATAGGCATAGATCTGTGTGGGCTGGGAAAGTTCCCTATCTCTCACAAGCAGGGACACAGAGGAGAAGTGAGATCCCATTGTCCCAAATAAGATCCCTTAGTCTCTCACTGTGAGGAGCAGAGGGGCGTTCTTTAGCTGACTGCCTCAATTTGGACACCAGCCACAGAGTGAGTCTTTCCCAGTGCGGTGACTATTTGCTTACTACTCAGGAGAAATAAAATTATAATACATAAAACACATTTCTTATTTTAAAGCCTAATACCTACAGGTCTTCCTTTCATTTTCTTCTTCTTGACCACCAACAAAAATTTCCTGATGGGGGAAAGAGTGGTGCTGAGGCAGAACCCTCAGCCACAACATTCCAGGCTGTACTGAAGTATTAAAAATGAATTTACTGAACTAGAATTGGAAGAAAAAAGTTTGCTTAAATATGACTTTTAAACTTTGCACGGGATGCAGAAAATATTGAAACATGCTCATCAGACACGGAAATATGATTTTGGTGAAGACCATGCATTTGGAACAATTTCTAGCACTTGCAGTATAAAAATTACACTTTGGAGAAAACAAAATAGAGTCCATATTTAGTTTTAATTCTGAGATTTTTCTGCTAAAATTAGTTAAAATATTTCCAGGTCTTCGAAATTCAAAGTGTTCATTCTTTTCAGATTTCTCCCCATACTTTTGTAGGCAATCAGCATTTGAAAACCAAGTAATATTCTGTCATATGTTCTATATTTTTCTCCTTTATTACAGATTCTTAAAAAAAAAAAAAAAAAAAAAAAAAAAGTCTCTTCTCTGTAGTTGTGACCCTTACCACGAAGCTGAATGTTTCAAAAAGTTGGTATTAAAATGAGAACTTAGGTCTCTGTTAGAAAGTAATCTAGCTCCTATGTATGCAACTCTGTCAAAATGAGTAGTGAAGATATACATTCACTTATTTACAGCTTTGCATGTCACACTCAGCAGAAAGCCGGGGAGGAAATCAAGTTTACCTTCACGATAATTTGTTCTTTTGACGTGACTTTGCCCTCGGCGTTGTTTTAATTTCTATTAAATGCAAAAGCATCTCCATTCCCGGGATTTTTAATGATTCAAAAGATTCCTCCACGGGAGCAACTGGATTTTTCTCAGGTTCGTCAGACTTCTCAACTCGACTTTGGTGGTGGCATTTTTCGGCGGGCGCCAGACTTGGTGGGATTTGGAGGGAGTTACCCCGATCCCTGCCTTTCCCGGAGCTCTACTTCTATCCGACCAGGAGCGGGACCCGACGAGGCGGGAGGAACGGCGGGGGCATCCTCCCCGGGAGGCGCGGGGCAACACCCGGCACAGGAGACACGTGAAAAGAAATTAAATAAATGAAATTAAATGAAACCGCAGCCGGAGATGGGTTGACTCGCTGTGTAAGCCCCCACCTCCCTCCGCCCCCCGTCTCCCCCGCACACCGCAGCCGTCGGTCCGTCCCTGCGCGGCCGGGGCGGGCACCGCGTGTCGGAGCTCTCTCCGCGCCTCCCGCCTCGCAGCTCCCGGGTAGTCCCAGCTGCGGAAGGGGAATCTCCCTGGCTTCCCCCGCCTCTGCCACCGCCGGGCCCGGGGATGAAATTCCCCCGGCGGCAGAGGAGCCCCTCCGGCCCCAGCGCACTCGCGGGAGGGAGCCACGCTGGAAAAAGGGCGGGAGGCAGGGAAAGAGGGTGTGTGGGGGGGTGTCAGCTCAGCCCACCGCGGCCTTATCCCCCCTCACTCCTCCCACCAGTGCGTGGTGCTTCTTAACCCCCGGGAACCTCCCTCCCGCGAAGCATTGCTCCACTTTGCAGAACACGAGTTGATGACGAAAAAAATACTTCTCGGCCGCTGCCAGCCATGAGCTGTTTGGATGTTATGTACCAAGTCTACGGTCCTCCCCAGCCCTATTTCGCAGCAGCCTACAGTCCCTATCACCAGGTAAGTGTGGGGGACAGTGGTGAAGAGGCAGAGTGTGGGAGGGGTGTCATCTGGAGGATGGCCGTCTGGGGCCTCACCGAAAGGAAAAAGGGAAAAGGAGAAGGGGAGGGGAAAGGGGGGCGGGGGAGGCGGGAGGGAAAGATCTGGGAGCCTGCGATGGTGATCGAAGCAGAACCGCATCCCACCTTGGAGCGGGGCTCGGCAGGGTACGTACACCGGCGGCAACCGACGGACTACGGGATGCTTTGGGAACTTGGGCGCGATTTTAACCCTCAGAGAGATTTTTAGGGTATTGATTTGTTCGTTTTCCAGTATTTGTTTGTTTGTCTGTTTCCTTTGCCGGGACTGGCTCCATCCGAGAGCGGAGGCTCGGGGCAGCGATGTCCGCGGTGTGTGTAACCCGTCGGTAGCTGCGAGGCCAGGCTACCAGGGTATCGCTTACCCCTGTGCGCCGGCATCCCGGCCGCCGCCGCGGGAGCCACTTCGTGCAGAGGTTTTACAGCCGCCTCGGAGAGGTGCTCCGGAGTTACACTCTGGAAGTGGGGGAGGCGAGAGTGCCGGGAGGCTGCGGGGTTTGTCGACGGCGGGAAAAGCCCCGGCCCCGAAGGGGACAAGGGTTTGCAGGATCCTCCCCGATCCCAGGGCGCACTAGGTGGTGGGACCCTCCCCCCTCCTCCGGTCCCACCGGGCTACCGGCGGCGCCGTCGCCTGCAAGACCCGCGGGTGCTCCGTGTGCTGGAGCCGCGTCCCGCCGCCGCACTGCGTGCGGCTCCGCCCGCGCGGGCGCGAGTATCAACCCATCCCCTGGTTTCAATAACGGGATCCCGCCTGTCGCGGGAATGTTTCGGGCACGCACAGCCCGTTATGCGTGGGGATCTGCTCGTCCCGGGACCCGCATCGTCCCGCGTGGGTCAGCGCTCGTTTCCCCGGGATGCACCTGTTGCACACCTCTTTCCTTTTACCCCTCTGCGTTTCCAGCTTTTCCCTCGCCCTTATTCCTTTCGGAAATTAATTCCTTTTTCCACCAGCGTAACGAAAAAGGGGATGGGTAGAGGGAGCAGCGCCCCAGGCCCGAGGCGGGTGAAAGCCCCTTCTGTGCAGGGTCGGGACGGGGCCAGCAACCCCCACTCCTTGCAGTCCCCGGTGTGGCGGTCCCTGTGCCGCCTCCACTGCCCGGCAGCGGGACACAATTCCCGTTACAAATAGCAGATGATGTATTCCCCCACCTTGCCTTCCCTCCCATCACCCCCTCACCCTCCCCCCGACGGCTTATGACATTATTAAGGGGGATGATCATTACCTCAATGGCCGAACTGGGAGCCAAGTGGAAAGGCGGTCGTGGCAGAGTGACATTATGAAATATATCACGCTCCTTGGCCCAAGGCTCTGCCTCGTCCCCTCGGTGCTTCCCTCGCCTCCCGCTCCACGGCTGTGCCCGCATAATCCAAGCCCGAGCTCCGCGTCCCAGTGCTTATTGCTAAGAAACTTGCAGCAGCTGCAGGCATGCTAACGCATAAAGATGGGAAACATCCACCGAACTTCTCAACGCCCGCTCTTTTCCCATCTATCGTAATCCAGTAAAAACAGAATAATCTTGTAGGAAATACCTGGAGCGTCCTACTGGCCAGGGAAATGATGTGCTTTGCCCTGAAATGTGTTTGAGTATTTTTTTTTTTTTTCTTTTTTCCCTTTCCTTCTCACCTCTGTGAGTCACGGGACACTCTTCACAGTAGATTTTGCGAGCCGGGGACCGAGCGCCTTTCGCCTTCCCTCCGCTGCAGTCGCTGCTCCGTGTGTGCCCGGCGGCTGTCCGACCGTGCCCCGCGTCTTTCCGCTCGCACTGCAGCCCCTTGGCGGCCGCTGTCCGCTCCGGAGCCATCTGTAAAGCTTCTTGTGCCGGGCTTGGTGCGGGGGACCCGGGCGTGTGATCCCCGCCCGGCCGCGCCCGCCCCGCCCGGCGGCTCTTTCTCCATCCCAGCCGGCACCTCTGGGTTTCGGGCCACCTGCCCTGTTTGCAACCCCTTCGCTGCTTCCCGGGGGTGGGACAGAACTGCAGTTACGGAGGGCGATGTGGGGGTGTGTGGGGTTACGGTGTGTGCTGGGGGAAAGGCGGGCAGCCTAGGACCAGACTTTTGCATCCTCTCGGAAAGATCGCGGGAGAGGGCTCGGCGCTGCATGCCGGTTGGCACATGGGGAGCCAGAGTACCTTGATGCGCTGCCTGACTGGCTCTGTTTTGTTTCCTTTCTCGCAGAAACTCGCCTTTTACTCCAACATGCAAGAAGCCCAGGAGAGCAGCAGTAGCGCCAGCGCCAGCAGCTCTTTCTCCAGCCACCCCGCGGCCAGCATCAAGGAGGAGGACTGCAGCCCCGAGAAGGAGCGACCCCCGGAGGCCGAGTACATCAGCTCCCGCTGTGTCCTCTTCACCTACTTCCAAGGGGACATCAGCGCCGTGGTGGACGAGCACTTCAGCCGGGCGCTCAGCCAGCCCAGCAGCTTCTCCCTCGGCAGCGCGAAAGCGACGCGGAACGCCGGCTCCTGGCGGGGTGAGCACCCAGCGCGGCGCGGGGGGCGGTGGGGTCCCCCTCCAGGCAGGCACCTCGGACCTCGGCATCCCGTCTCCCTCCTCCCTCTGGCCGACGGCTGGTGCTCGACGGGCAGCCCCTGGGAGCCGCTGTCCCGGGCCGGGAGCTGTCAGCTGCTTAGCCCTTTTAAGGGAAAAAAAAAAAAGAATAAAGCCCTTCAGTTCATGCCTGGCCTCAGTGTTCCAGGGGAAAGCAGCCTGGGAGGTGGAACAGGGAAATGAATTTTCTTTACACTGCAGAGGCTTTACCTTGAAGGGGCTACAGCCAAACCAGCTATGAAATGACACCTGCACTGTGACTGTGCATCTCCTGTTGACCCTTGCTTTCAGTTTATCGTGGTCATAATGATGGGAACAAAGCAAAAAAAGCAAATGTGGGAACCATCTCATCAGCTTTCCACCTCTGAAAAACTGATATTTTGCCCTGTATGTATCCCTGTATCATCACCCTGACTGCTGCTGGGGGAAGATCCTTAAATTTCTGAAAACGAAGGCTTCTAGACCTGCCTATGGCTGTGACTGTGTACCATCAAGGTCAAGGCCAGGGCTTACGCTCAGCTCTCCGTATCCATGCTGATTCACTCTGGACAGGTCTAGAGGTACCCAGGGCAGAAGGGAATAAACTTTCCCATCCTCTGTCTGCCAGACAGTTAGGGCTGGCACTTCTTTATGTGCAGTTTTGCTAACTCTCCCTCACAGGGCCACCTGCTCAGCCAAGGCTGATTTCTCAGACTCTATACAAATTGCTGTCGATAGTGTCTAAGAATGAAATAGTTTAAATAATTCATGTGTGAAAGATATTCAACTGGTGGCAGGAGAGGAGTGTTTTTTCCTCATCATGAACCTCTTCCCCTTCTACTGAGTAATGCCAGGGCTCAGAGCTGACATACATCCTGGCAAAAATGTATCAGGAGCATGGGTTTTTTTTATTTCTTTTGGGAATAGTTTGCATTCTCAGTTAATCATGCATAACATCTACCTGTACTATTAATAATCACCAGTCCATCTTGCATGTTGCTTACTGGGTTAAGAAAAGGTAGGGTCCTTGTCCTTTGCTCTGCCTCTGAAAAATCTCCGAAGGTCTGCAGAGTGCTTCCCAAACCTGTTGACTATATACCTAAGAAACAGGCGTAAGTCTGGTGTAATAGGTTGACAATCACCCCCAGAAAGTTAAGAAAATTCAAACTGGCCTCTAGTCACATCTCTCACTGTTCCTGACCCCTTTGAAACTGTGCTGAGGCAGCAGCTGCTTTCCTGGAGTTGTTGAGCATAAATGTTTATACAAGGAGATTATTACAAAAATGAACAAGAAAAATCCGACCTTGAAAATTTCAGTGGTGTATATCAGCTCTCACTCAGTTTACACTATGGAAGAAAAGAGATGTTTCCCTCACCTTAGACAACAGCCTTTTGCCCACCTACATACTAAGAGAAACCTGGAACAAAAAGTTGCAGCTTCAGGGATAAGCCATAGCCTAGGTGTGTTGGATGTTTAGCTGGAGAGGAATCTGTATTTGTTTGGAGCAAGTTCTTGTGTTTGGTAGTTTTTCAGGGAGTTAAGGTTTGGGTTTGGTTGGATTGGGGAGGGACAGAGGCCTAGGGAAAGGTGATCAAGCCTTGCTGGCTGTGCTCATTGCTGACTTTCTCTCCCATTTCCTTCACCCAGATGGCTCCTTCCCAATGAGCCAGCGCATCTTCCCACCATCCTTCTGGAATAGCACGTACCAGCCCTCCTCAGTCCCAGCCAGCCTGAGCAGCCCCCTGGCAGCTGCCGCCCACAGCGAGCTGCCCTTCGCCACCGCCACCGACCCCTACGCACCCGCCTCCCTGCATGGCCACCTGCACCAGGGAGGCCCTGAGCCCTGGCACCATGCCCACCACCACCACCACCACCACCACCACCCCTACATTGGGACACAGAGC